GATTTCAGTCCAGCTCTAAGTATTGGTCTCAGTGAAGATTTGAGCACAGACTGTGCTCTCCACAGACCATGACAGAATAATAGAATAGTTTGGGTTGGAGAGGTCACCTAGCCCACGCCCTCTGCAATGAGCAGGGAAATCTTCAAGTAGATCAGGTTGTTCAGATAATTCTGGTCCCAAGAGGTTTTGGGTTCTCCTGCTCCCCAAGCCTGCACCTGTTCTGAGGCCGTCTGGTCTCAAAATAGTGACTAAGGTCAGGAAAAAACCCACAGGATTTGAAGTGTTCTCTGCATTTTAAGTGAGACAGTTCTTGCAGATTATATTCATCCAATAGTAGTGATTAGCCTGCACAATGTGTGACTAAATTATGTTCCTCATCTTTTTTCTTTTACATGGTTTTCCCTGTTATTCTCTCTCCCTCCCTAGCATGGGCTGGTATCTTTTTCTACTGTATGTTTACTAGTTTGCTAAATTTCTAAATATAGTTCCTATCAACTCTACCACTCCTCCTACAGTTTTTCTGCACCTCTTTTATTTATTATCTGTCATCCAGATCAATTATTCCTCTGCCTCCATGCCTCAGTAACACAGAGACTCACAGAATGGTTTGGGTTCAAAGGGAGTTTAAAGGTCATCTCGTCCATCCAACCTGCAATGAGCATGGACATTGCACTTCCTTCCTCCAGCCTAGGCACATCTGAGCCTTTGTCAGACCTAGCACAGGCTGAGGACAGTCTCTGAAATGTTCTGAGGTGTGAGTGCCTACTTAGCATAGAAGGCAAACTGTACCTCCTGTTAGGAGAAGCCTGTCAAGTGCTACAGCTCTCTAAGGTTATCACCACCCCAAAGTCCCTGTATTTCCTCTGCACATATTTCTATGCAAACACTCTCTTCCCACACTTGCCTCTGTGCATATGTCTCCTAGCTGGTCGGAATTTGGCATCTCTGTTAGCAAAAAAATACCAACAAAGTGAATTGTGTTTGCGTTACTAATGAGGCAGACAGACATAATTTTGATGAAGGATTTCTGTCCATTGCAAAGAGACTGGTAGGTCAGGGCAGCATCTCAGAATGGACAGGTTTCACTGAGGAGTACAAAACACAGCAAACTGATGGGGAAGACACTGGCAGGATCTGAAAGATGCCTCCACTGGAAAAAGTCATCAGAAGGAGGTGCCTCAGACCCCTGGGAGATACATCATTCAGGCTCATCAGCCCAGATAATAACCATACAGGAAAAATCTCCTTACTTGCTGAGGTAATCTAGAGTGGGAAAGGATAGAGGGGAGTAAAAAGCCAAACAACAGAAGCCTCAGGGTGTGTGGTATGAAAACTCCAAAGAAACTAAAAAAACAAAAAAAAACCAAACCAAAAACCACAAGACCCCAACTGGATTAAAAATAATTACCCAAAGTCATAGTTTATCTGTTGAGATCTACTAGAGAAGCTATTTTAATATTGTCTCCCTCAGCTTTCTGCCTCTGCTCCTGGAGGTGTCTAAAAGGAATTTAAAAATAAAAATCAAGACAGAAGAAAAAATACACCATGAACAAAAATAAGACTGACCTTTTTCTGTTTCCATGTAAACTTCCAAGAATATTGAGAAAGGTGCCGGACCATTTTTATGACTCAAAAATATTTCTTCTTCCCTTTTCATGACATCATCTCTTGGTTGCCTTTTATTTACTCATAACACAGCCACAGTTTAAATAGACAATATGATTTATGTCGTTACATCATTTAAAGTCAGATACCTTGTGTTTTTCAAATCTGATGAAGAAAAGCAGACTTCTCTTAAAGCACACTGTGGCTTGAAACACAAGGTTGTGGGTTTGCAGTCAGACATTATTCTTCTTATCTACACCAAGGTCTCACACTTGAAAGGGAAGTCCCACCTCATTCTCCTAGCAGGCGCCACCATAAACGTTTTTAACCACCTCCCCTTTTTCAGCATTTGTTTTACTAATGGGATTTGTGTCCTGCTCTCCTCAAACTAAGACTAATTACTACGTCCTTCCATTGTGCGATTTTTTCCCACCTTTTTTTTAAGAAGTTGCTTGTCTGTATCATATTGCTTTAAAGGAAGAAAGTCAGTTTTTCATATCATCAGGTCTTTCCTGTCTCTCTGTGAACAATTATTTAATACATTGCAAGCACATTACAGCTGGACTATTTTTTGACACAGTCAGCCCAAGGTCTGCTGGGGTGGCTGGGGTAAACCACGAAGCTGGGCCTCTTCCATCTCTTTCACTGAAGAAAAGAATCATAACTAAATGAAACAAGCACCGATACTGACTATGCAAACCACAAGGCTATTCTACAATGTCACACCACAAGAATCTGATTATTTTGTAGAAACTGGTTCAAGCTCATCCATAGAGGCACACTTTAGGAGATGCAGCAGCTACTAAAAGCTGAAAAATTCAAGTCCAAAATTTGGGAGAGAAAAAAAAAATAATTCTAGTTAGGCCACCTTCATTCCTTTTACCTCAACAGCCCCACCTTATTCCTACAAATGCTCTAAGTGGTCCAGTCCACATCTAAAAAAACTTTAAAATCTACTTAACATTTTTGCAGAGCTTTAATGCCAGGTGATGTATTACTGCTCAGCATTAAATAACTGCATAGTAACTAGTGACAGACTAGTTACAGGCCTTCAGAAATTTCATGGTTAAGAAAGAATAATATCTAGGATTAATGGCAGTTTGATCTGAACTCTGAGAACCTGAATGTTAAAGCCAAGGATTTTACTGCCACTTTAGAAAGGCAGATTTTTTTCAGGGGTAAAATAGCCCCCAAAGTGTTCTACAAGAGAGCATTCCACATCATGTCATGTTTATCCGAAATTACTTCATCAATTTAGCAGCATGGCATATCCGACAGAACAAACAAACTTTAATGAGGACACAATGTTTCTAAATTCGGTATCAGTTAACATATGATCATCCACTGCTTGAAATTTCTAATATTCTTTTGTTTCAAGCCTGTAGCACTTGCTTGACTCAAACTACTCCAGACAGCAGTTTATTAGTATTATTTATCCATTAATGCAACCATGAACATCACACAATACACAAGTCTTTAGAGCTTGGTATCTAAAACAAGATAAATAGGATTAAAGCATGCATTTCAGGCTATAAAAGCAATTTGTTCCCCAGAATTATTTTCTAGCTTGACTTGAAGCATTATCATAAATGGAAGGAAAGGGAAAGGAAAAAAAAAGCCAGTGTGCAGACAGTGACATTGTAAAACAATATTTCTATTTCAGGGATGTGAAATAATTCATAAGATAATACAATATACACTGTTTTCCATATGTAATAGTTTATTCATGCCACAGGACAGATCCAGTTGTAACTAATCAGTGGAAAAGCATAATGTTGTAGCTGCAGAGGTAATTCCAACAGCAGCTGTAATAATATAAAAATTTTTAAAAAAATTAAAAACAAAAAAGAAAACCCAAAAAAAACCCCTCAAAAACCCAAAACAACCACCACACACACACACACCAAAAATCAGGAAAGTGCTTTCTGTGAAAACTACAACAGTAATTTCAATTTATAATTGCCTTATGTGACGACCACAAACATCTTTACAATAAAGGCCAGCAATTAGGATTTCCCAATGGTTAAAACCTATAAGCAGTATTTTTTGCTTTTTTAAAAATACCACAAAATTTGTAAATAAAATCCCTGAGTGGGAAATCTGTCAGATAAAACTCTAAGCAGAAGCACGCTGACTTGAAGTGCCCACTCTCAGCTTGAAGCAACATCTGTTATTAGAGCTGGTCTACATACAAATCAGAACTGGTTTCACCAAGCCCATAAATTTAAAGCCAAGCCAAAGGCCGTGTGGGCATTTCAGTGGGCAATCCTCTTCAGACAAAAAACCCTGTATCAGAATTCCTGCTATGATGTTGCTGAGGTATGTGGGGTGAGAACACAGTACACAGCAGAGATGTGGGAGACTGCAATTCAGGGAGAGAAGCAGCACCAAGAGAAAGGAAGCAAAGCAGCTGGCTTAACAGCCATTCTAACAAGCTCCTCAGCTAGGTGGTTACTCCTGATAGAAATTTCTGCTCAGAACAGTTCATGTGTACACAAAGACAAAAAGCATAGTTATGAGCAGCTATAACCTAGGCTAAAACCAGCTGCTGAATGACTGTAGGCCCTTAGGGGCTCCAAAAATAAGACATCTGACATCAAGTATTTAGTTTGGTGCTAACACCAGAAGTACTCAGATTTTATAGGGCAACTGTTTTGATTTACATTTCAACTAGCGTAATTGCCAGTGTGCAGTTCAGGCCATGCTGAGAAGAATAAATCAATACTACTTTCCTTGGATGTTTTGTAAACAAATTACTCCAGAAAATACCCTGACCTTGCCTCATCAATTTCTGTTTTATGGGAAGTGAGCTGCTGTCCTTAGATATTGGCAAAAGTATGTGAGTTTGAAAAGTATCTCAGGAGAAGAAAGAGCCTGAGTAACAATGGACAAAACATATTAAACAACCTGCCCCGACTTACTAACTTGAAATAAGATAGCCACCACCCATCGAGAATATTGGAGGTTTTAGGAATTTTGGATGTTCAGATCTGGGACTTCAGTTTAGGTTCAGAACAGGAATGTTCTCAAGGGTCCAAATCAGCAAACCACTTCTTCTCATAATAAAAGACTTTGGCATAAGTCTGCACTGCATCAGGCAATAGTGTAGCAAAAAACAGACAGTCTGCTAGTTCTAGTGAAACTCTGGAATTTTACTGTAGTAAAATGGAGGTACAACATACTGCTTATAACAAATTGCCCATTCCAGGAATTTGGCTGTGCCTCACTAAGAGATAGTTCCACAAAAATCTCACCTCAGTGCTCAGTAGCTGTCACAGGGTCAAGTGAAACAGGAAGATATTAGGAGATAATAAATATGCTTCTTTCAGGTTTCAAACACCTTGAGAACTCTGCATTTGTAATTCCCACGCTTCCTGCGGATAGGATGTTAAAATGCAAAAAGACTCAAGAGAACACCACAAGGACAGTTCATTGGCACAAAACAGTGTCAATATGGGTAACATTTAAATAGATGAGCACTGAAGGCACAGTACAGGACTTCTGCTATGGTGACAATTGGACATGACAGTCACTACTTCTAATACAAGAACTACGAGGCACCAAATACTACTAGTAAAAAACAGGTTCAGGTCAAACAAAAGCTAGTGATTCTTCACATAGGCAAGGCTGGTCTATGAAAGCACTGAGTAAAGGATGTAGTAGATGCTAGCAGTTTACTGTTTCAAAAGACAGCTGGGCAAATTTATGGTAGAGAACTTTACCAACAACTGTCAAGTGGGAAAAGAAAAATAGAAAAACAGCCCAACCAAACAACAAATCAACAACCCACACACAATACATTGACTTAAAATTCTCCAAATCATAAAACTGCTTAGGAAACTATTCTGAGAGAACATTCCTATCAAAGAATTGTTAAATTCTTCCCCAGATTGTTCCCCAATTAAAGACCATTGCCAATGCAAGACGACAACCTACATATACCTTGAACAGTACTCCATCAGATTGTGTAGACATCTTTCTTTTTAAACTAATAAAACCCTTCTAAACATGAGCATCATTTTCAATGCAGCTCATTTTCAATTGCTCATATATTAATTTCATAATGCTTGACTCACTCTGTCTCTCCCTTGCCTTCCCTTTCTCTCTTTTCAGATTAAGGAAAATCCAGATGGGGTGCAGGTGCTGCAAAATGATACAAAGGTACAATAGAACAAAAGCATTAAACCATGTGTCTCTGCTCCCCCACACCTGTTGCTTTAATTAGCCACTGTAAAAGGCTGGAGTTTTCTCAAAGTTTACAGCATCTTTAAGAATAGACATACACATTTCCGATGAAAGTCCTTTTAATTTACTGTAATTAAGGTGTACTTCTAGAATTCCTAGAATTGTGTTGCATTGAAAATTCTTCTAGTAAAGTTTTTTCTAATTGAGATAGCATGAGCTTCCCTCAATTCAGCAGAACAGGGAGCACACACTGTGCCAGATCCTCCCTCTCTCCTAAGCAATGAAAATGAACAACAGTTCCTTTCTTCCATCATAGCTGTTAAATGTAGTTAGTTGGGGGAATAATTCCCATATTAAAAGTCTCCCTAGAGAGGAGGACTAGATAGTTTTATAAAGACCACATTTCAGCCCCACATGATGGTTACTACTTCCCTTAGCCACTTCTGTAGAACAGGTAAGGAACTGGTGAGAAAATGGTGCTAAAAGAGAGAAAAAAATAAAGACAAGAGGGAAGCCCTGGGAGAGATAGGTCAAGGAAACTATACAGCAAGAGGAAGAAAATTAATCAGGAGGGGGGGAAAAAAAAGACAAAAGACTTGAAAGAACATCAGGAAAAAAATGGAAGATATTTCAGCAATTTTATGAGGACATATTAATTAACAGTCCATAATACGACTACTCCTTGGATAATCAGCTCCCCAGAGAAAATAAAAAATAAGGCTGGAAACAAGCAATGACCAGCACATAGTTCTTCAACATCCTCCTTTATGCTCCTGGTGAATCTCACTAGAGGAGTTAATTATGATCAGTCCCAGAAGACAGCAGCTGGCAGCATATTCAGCATTTCCATTTGGTTTAACTCATTCTCACGACCCAAGGTAGAGTTCAGTGACACCCCTTTCCTCAAGACCTTCAGCTTAAAAAGGAAGCTTAATCTTTTTTCCTAATTATATTGATTGACATCATAAGTAACATTTCCTTTACAAATTTTCCTTACTCCAGCTATATCTTTGATCCAGAAGAAGTACGATCATCTGGATGCATTCACGAAGGAAACAGCTATAAATACAATGAACAAGGCAGCAATAAATCCAGATTCAAAGAGAATAGTGAAAATGAAGAACCCAAAAATGAACTCCAAAAAGATGTGGTAAACAAAACAGAAAATAAAAACACCATAAACTGTACAACAGAAACTCTCTGGAACCACAGAGGCAATGATTGTCAAGAGGATGGTCTTGTGAAGCATGCTGTAAAGCTTGATGTTGCAGTCAATGGTGGCAACTCCTGTGCTCAGCACCCCATGCTCAACCCCAACACAAGCCCAATGAAAGAAACCAGTGCAAAGGGAACTTTCAGCCAGCCAGAGGCTTCTTCAGCCAGTAATAAAGACTTTCACACCAAAACAAATAGGTATGGACAAGAACTTGACCTAGAGACAGGCAGTCAGAATAAGGCAGCCAGCAATGTGCCTAACAGTATTCCAGACTCCCAGTCTGCAGAAGACAGCATCTTTCTCAAAGGAAACTCAATACTGGAGACAGAAGACAATGCCATAAGACTGCCAGGTATTGATTATCCCCAAAATGGCAATCAAACTGGGAACTATGTTGAAAACGACAGCTTTTCAGTCAGCTGTGCACATTCAAACCGAAACACTGGTGTTTCAGCAATACAGAACCAGGACCTTTGTGTAGTCCCACCTTGGCCTGTGAAAGAGACTTGTATTGAACCTTTTAAAAGTGACTCTGTGAGGCTGAGTGAGAGCCTTACTGGTGGTATCACTGCAGCAGCTGTTACCAAAGACACACAGGCACCCACACACACCAGTCATAAAGATGTCAATGGAGGAATTGAGGAGGAAGATGCAGAAGTTGCAGCAGCTCTGGCTGCACTGGAAGCTGCAACAGCAGGAGAAGACCTGGAAGATGATGAGTACTAGATGGTTTCTTTCTAATACACTGGGTAAGATCCAGATGTTATTGCTGGATCCATATGAACAGATGTACAGCACACATGGAGAACTGTTATGAACAGCATATATAAAAGGACTAAACCTCAGTCCCTTCAGCTGTTCTATACAGCCTTTTAATCTCTACTGCCTGAGGTACAGAAACACTTCCTTGACTAATGGTAATTCTCTTCTCTATGGGCCCAAACAGGAGGCAAAAGCATCATTTCTTCCACACAGAATATTCAGTTGTATACCCACCTCATCTGGACTCATGCAAGTGTTTCCTTTTTTTCCTCATGAGGGTCTGTACACACTGCATATTCCAGGTTCACAGAACTCCCATTATTTAAAATAGGACTATTGAAGCTATGGAGTTGGAAACCACTGATTTTCATCATTACCAGAAAAAAACCTACATAAAGGAGCTAAAGTTCTACGAACTACTGAAATGCAAAACAGGGAAGACAGCTTGGACTGAACTTTACTGTGGCTATGGTTCCATTATGGATTAAGCCTAAATCTGTGCACGTGCACCCAGCATTGGAATGGTAACATTACTTCCCCCCACACACCTCTCCCTTGACCTCTTTGATACCCCAAGTGTTGCTGCTTCAGTTCCTTAAAATAGCGGAAGCCCAGCCAAATCTAGGAGGGTTAGTAACTTTCTATTGGTTTAATGTGCTGAAGTAGCTCATGTAAGCATTGCACAGACACTATCAGAGAGGCCACAAAGAGAAACTCAGTCCCTACCAGTTTGGATAGATTAAAAACAGTTGAAACCTCTGAATTATGCTAAATTTTCCAGGTGCATGTCACCTGTCTTAACAAGACAGTTTTCAAAAAGGCTGTGTCTCAAACATACTCAGCAAGATGTGTTTTGTTTATACAGAAACAGCAAGAGCCAACAAGGACCCCTCCTCAGCTCTGCTTGTAGTCCCTAAATTTATATCAGGAAAGGGACTGAGCTTCCAAACTGGATTAAGTATAAGATCTAAAAATAGCAGCATTCTTGGAGGGGCTTCATTTCTAATGGGAGGAAAAAAAAGGAGGTAGAGACCAATTTGGTGCTGCCAATTCAGCAGAAGTATGGTTGGAATAGAAAGTGTTTGACATTTTATACTGAAATTTAGTGGTTTCCACGTTTTTGTTAAAAACTCCTAATAAATTTTTCAACCATATAAAAAATAATCTGGTGGCTTTTGTACTTTATGCATTTTCTGAATATAAAAGTAACATTAAAGAAGTTTATATAAAATATAACCCTCATTAGATACATGAAAAACACCAACAATGTATTTGCCTACAGTATGTGCTGATTTTGATTTCTCAAAACATTAATGATACTCCTAGGAGAAATTAAAACAACCTGAAGTCTCAGCTTCTAGAGAACTATATTCAGCTACAGGTAAGAGTCACAACATTGCATCTGTAAAATAAAAAAGCTTTATATGGTTTTAAAGTATTGTAGTATTGTTGATTTCTCTACCGCTATCTTATTTTAATAGGTCCTTCTAAGCCTACTCATAAGTGCATACAAGTTTCACATATGCATTTGTCTTTCAAAGGTTACTACAATACTGAAAGGAGCTGAAAGTGTCAGCACATAGCCACTAAAGAGTTATGCTGAGAGTGTCACCAGTCCTGACTGTCCCTGCCAGGCACCCCAGGACTCCCCCTGCCCTGCCTGGGGCCCAGGACCCCATTCACCTCCCAGGAGGGCAGAGCAGCCAGCCCAGCCATGGGCCCTGCAGCAGATGCCTGTGCTGGGGCTGTCCTGGTGCTGTTGGCTGCCCCATGCCCTGGCTGGGGCAGTGGGACAGGCTCTGGCTGTGGAATCCAGCCTTGCTATCCCCAGGGAGCCCCTGCTGCTCCCCACATCCCAGCCCCAGGGAGCCAGCAGGCCCTTGCTGCACTATGACACAAACCATGAAAAACAATTCAAGTAAAAAAGACATTAAAGAAAGAAATGCAACAAACACCTCAGAAAACTTACCTGTTTTTTTCAATATCCAATCAATTTGATTTTTCTAACCTGAGCTCCAGCTCAACCTTCAAGTGAAAATCACAGCAAGTTTCTCACCTTGCTCCCCAAGCATTAAAACATAAGAGGCGAGCCCCTGGACAGACACACTCCAGACAATTCAAATCAAGTAACTCTTCCATGGGCAACTGCCTGCAACCATGGGCCACCAGGCTGAAACCCCCTGCATGAGAGCAGCTGAGCCACAGACAGTGCATGTCTTCCAGCCCAAGTTCTCGTTGTCATAAATATAAGAGGCAAAATCCAGCAAAAAGCAAGTCTATTCACTGCATTGGAAATAACTGTTCAGTGTTCTCTCACAGAAAACGAAAAAAAAAAGTTGGGCATCTGCATATCTCAAATCTACATCATATGGAAAACCTCCATAAAATAAACTTATGAGGTAACACCAACTTCAGGTGGTGAGGAAATACAACATTCAGACTTCTTTTATCTGCCAAGTAAAAAAACCTTGCCATTTTTAAATTAAAAAAAACCCCAACATTTGTATGCATTTTATATTGATGTATATGTTTATATACCTTCAACTCTACCCTGATACCACCAAGTGCCAGGAATTCTTAGCCATTTTTCAGACTACAGTACAATTTTCATAATAAATGCGAAAGATTAACTTATTCAAGAAGTAATTTTTAAAAGCCACACAGTTTCCTCCATAAAAATTAGATTTTAAATAATTATGTGGGAACCAAATCTTACTCAGTCCATCAGATACTGATTCTAATGAACACAAACACTGCCAGCTTGAATAATCCATTTTGCTCAGGCAATTGTGAGAGTAAAATTCAGTAACTTGAGAAAATAGAAAATTACAGAGAAAAAGTGCTATTAATGCCTTAACATAAGCAGCAATAACTTTTTGGTTTTTTGTTAAATATCATTTAAACTTCTTTTAAATGGTTAAGTCCATTTTCACAACAGAATTTAATATATGTAGCTACTCCTCCACTCCCTACCTCTTTCTCCTTTAGTCAGAGAAAATAAATTGTACAACATAGTTTGGAAAACAGGACTCTCTCAAAGACACAGGAAAAACATCACTTCTCTTGATTTTGTTTCTAATCCAAATGTTGAAGTCAACATCCCAAGCAGTCACCTCATAATGACTGTGATCAAAGCTATCAAGGTTACATCATTCTCTGCTCTGAATCTTGACTGAAATTATTATAAACAGGACTTAACAGCTTTTTGCTTTAATTCATGGCTCAATTACTATACACTAACAACCGAGAAACCTTTCATTCATTAACTAAACAAACCTCAGAAGTCTTTCAGGAAATACAGCATCCCAATATTATGTCAGGTTGAAGACAACTTAAGTATTCAACCAATGCCACAATAAAACCATGTCACATGAAGACAACAGTTTAAATCATTTATTTGCTCATTAAGCTATCTTCTATTTACTCTGAGCTAGAGATTAGCTTGATTATTATGAGAGTGCAGAAGCAGAGAGGAGAAAGGCAACACCCTTAGCTATTCACCTTAACCTCAAGCATGGCCAGATTTTCAATAATCTTTGATCACATATCCTATCCCCTCCCTGCTCTTAATATCTGGAGCCAGTACCAAGTAATTTACGTAGATTTATGCAAAATGAAAGGAAGGTAGGTGACACAGGCAAGATAACTACAGAGCAAAATGAATTTATGAATGAGATTAAAACTCTGTTTAGGTATTTGAGGACCCACCATAGGAATGTGGCCAAGAATTAATAACTTAGGTTGTTTCTATCTCACATCCCTTTAGTTCTTATTTGAGATCCTCTTCCAGAAATAATGTATTAAATAATTTAGGGGCATTCCTCAGATTAGCTTATTCATAAAATCCTCAGGAAAAAAAAAAAAAAAAAAATCCATGTAAATGTCCTTAATTTCAATTGTCCTGGTTACAGCTGGGATTGAGTTAATTTCTTCTCAGTAGCTGTTATAGTGCTGTGTTTTGGAATCAGAATAAGAATGGCACTGACAATACACTGATGCTTTGCTTTTTGGGAAGTCGTGTTTGTCCTAAGTCAAAAACTATTTCTTGTCTCATGCTCAGCCAGTTAGGAGGTTCACTAAAGAAACTGTGAGGGAGCAGAGCTGGGACAGGTGGCCTGAACTGACCAAAGGGAGATTCCAAAGCACAGAACATTGTGCCCACTGTGGAGACTTTCAGGGTGATGATGTTTGTCTCCCAAGTCACTGTCACATATGATGGGGCCCTGCCCTCCTGGGGATGGCTGAACACCTGCCTGCCCACGGGAAGCAGTGAATAATCCCCTATATTGCTTTGCTTGCGTGCATGACTTCTGCTTTCCCTACTAAACCATCTTCATCTGTCTTCATTTCAACCCACGAGTTCTCCAGTGTTTAACCTTGTGATTCTTTCCCCAGTCTCACTGGTGCAGGAATGAGCAAGCAGCTGCCTGGGGCTTGGCTGCTGGTTGGCATTGAACCACGATGTCAATACTAGACGCGCTACAAAAAGAGATTTTGCTGTGGCCAGAAGTGGTACAAGTTTCTCTGGAATCAGTCTCAAGAACAAACGAAGTATTACAGATTTTTAATGCCACAGTTTCAGTCTGGTAGGTAAAAGTGACACAGGGGTTTATCTATATACTACTATATACTTTGCCAGAATAATGCTGGTCTGATTTTGCTTACCTTATACTCATTAATCTGCTGTTTATGTACACTTACATAAAAAACTCATCCAATTAGCATCTGCAAATAAACAACCACACTAGAGATCCAGCATTAATCAAAATCAAGTCAAATTATCAAAAGCCTTACAAAAGAATATGTATACTCCACCCTGACTGGGAATTACTTTTCCAGATTCATGCATGAGTGTTAATTACCAGTCGATGCACGCTGCTATTGTTTTGACATACGACACACAGATCCTGTTCTTCCTCATTGCTTTGATTAAAAATTTGGCTCAGAGAGAAGTTTACATTGTTCCTTTTAATAACTGCAGCAGCTACTTCCAGGCCACTGCAGGGCCAGAGAGGGGCTGAGTTACTGGGTCCTGATTAGC